GACAACATTAGTTTACATCAATTTATCATCAGCAATATCAATATTTTTTAAAATAAACGAAGGAAATAAATGCAATCAATGATTACTATTCAAATTCCATTTCCTATTATAAAATTTATTCATTTAAAAATGAATTTATTAATTACCGTTTTCCTTTTTTTTGTTTTTTGTTTTTTTTTTTTTTTTACTTTTTTACATTTAAATGAAAACAAAATGTATCAAAATATTTTTTTTTCTCTTTTTTTTTTTTTGCTTTATTTTCTTGTTTTTATTATTGTAAATAGTTACAATTGAGAAAACTTTTTGTTTTTTTTTCCCCCCCCCCTCCCTAAAAGAAATGAAATAGCAAAATTTAGTGCGTTATATTTATCACATTTTTTGATGAAGCCAAAAAATTGTCACAAATTGTCACAACAAGTATGTTGGTTACAGATAAGATAAGATAAGAATGATTTATTGGTTTATCTAGATAAGAATATTTTAATGGCTTAGGAGATTTATTTATTTTTTTCAAAGATATATGGAACAAAATTATTCAACGTTTAATATCATTCCTTTTAAAAATACAAAATGGCTTATTCTTCTTTTTTTTTCTCCTTTTTAAATGTAAATTAATTAATTTTGAGAAGTTTTGTAAAGAATTAGATTCATTTTTTCTTTTTTTTTATTATCACCAAGAAAAAAGCAAAAATAATCAAATTTTTCGTACTTTTTTTTTCTCCTGTAAATTTAACATTTTGTATCAAATGAATAATCATCTACCTACATCTATCGTCAATTTAATTAAACTTTTTGCTAATAATATTTTATTAAAACTTTTTTTTTCTATTCTATTTTAATGTTACTAAGCACTTTTCAATTGTATTTTACTTAAATTAAATTTACACATGTTGTTAAGTAAAATAAATTGGTAAAAATGGAATAAATAAAACTGAATGAACCGGAAAGTAAATTTTTTTTTTTTGTTCGGAACACTTTAAATCATTTTCAGTCATCATCAAACAATATTTTTCATTTATATTTACAATCCAAATTAATTCCGGAATCAAGAAATATTAAAATTTTAACTTTTGGATTACGAATAATTTTTTACCAGAAAATTATAGAAATATATTTTATTTTATTTTTGTAACTTTTATCGGAATACTGAATATAGCTTTAATACAACTTCTTTTTTTTCCTTTCCTTTAAATCCTAGCAACTTGGTTTTTTTTTTTTGAACACATGATGCAATTAATTTCGAGCATTTTGGAAGTTTAATTTAGTTGAATTGAGTTAAATTCAAATTTATATATTAGCCTCAAAAAATTCGTACGAAAATTTTCAATTTTCGTTATTGATTTAGAAATGAAATTTTTTTATATAATTTAGATCAAAAATACAATATATATATATTAATTTATTTATTTAAAATTATTTAATTTTAATCGTTTCTTTTTCTTCACATCCATACTAACAAGTTTACTTTTATGTTTTTTATTTTCATTTTTATTTTTTTCATTTCGAATTTATTTCGAAACTTTAACTGGTTTTATCATGCATTAAATTAGTTAAAAAAAAAAATGTAAAAAAATAATTTTATTTTCTTTTTTTTTTGTTTTTTTTCTTTTTTTTTTTTTTGTCTTTTATTTTGTAGTTATTTACAACCAAATGGATGAACAACTCCTGTCGTTTGAAAAAGAAAAAAAATAAATAAATTGTTTATGTCATCAATTTTTAAATGTTACAGCTTAAATGATAGATAATACCATAGATTTTGTGATTTTTGAAAAAAAGTGGATAGCATTCATTTGAGTGGATGATCATTTTCAGTTTGTATTTTCCAATTTTCAAACATTTTCTTTTTTCTTTATAATTCATTTAAAATTAAAAATAATCAATACTATTTAAAATTATTTCTTGCCGTTAT